AGCCATCTCACCAGCCCCGAGTTTAATTTCTTACAGCAGTGTTTTTCAGCTTTCAGGTTATATACATTAAAAATTGGTTAAAATTAATCTTACTTTATGGCTTTTGATACTGTTTTTTAATTTTTTTAAAATTGAGATAGGTTCAATCCCCGGTTCTGCCAAAATAAATAAATAAAATTGAGATAGGGCCTTCTTGTGTTTTCCAGGCTGGCCTTAAACTCCAGGCTCAAGGGATCCTTCTGCTTCAGCCTCAAGAGCTAGGATTATATAAACACTGCTATGCCCAGCTATTTTCAAGATTTTTATTACTTTTTTTTGTGGAACCGGGGATTGAACTCAGGCCCTTGCACTTGCCAGGGAAGCGCTTATTCCACTGAGCCATCTCCCTGGTCCTTTTATTACTTTTTGATATAGAAATTTATTTTTGTACACTGACTAGACACTGTGACTTTTCTAAGTATTATTTCTAGGTGCTTACTCAGATATTCTCAATGAAAAGATTTTCTACAAAGACATCTATAGATAAATGTTTACTTCACCTTTTCTAATTGGTCTTTTGTTTCCCACATCGCGCTAGTTAGGACCTTCAGACCACGCATGGAATGGCAACGGTTAACAAACATCCTTGTTTTGTTCTCAACTCTTAAGGCCGTCTTTCATCACTAAACATGGATAGTGTATGTTTGTCGCAGATGTCCTACATCAAGCTTAGTTCCCTTTTATTCCTGGTTGGCCCAACATCTGATTATGGGTTATACGGGGGTGGTCTGGATAGCCTGTGTTTAATTGAAGCACGAGTGAATGGTAATACAGGTCAATAGGTAAGAGTGGATTTGTGTTCAGCATTTAATTCTGTAGAGACACACTCCTTTCCTGTTCTACATGCTTTCAGTGATGACCCTGGACCACTGTATCTCAGATTGAATCCACTGTCACTAAGAGCATTTACTTCTTTTTGGTTAAGTGCATGTCTGGGCCAGAAGTGTCAGAATAACACTACCCACAATCTCACAGGGCATAAGGAACACACTGACTGCAAAGATGAAATATGAAAAAAAGGGAACTAGAGAAACTCTAGATACTGAAACTCAATCTAGCCACATGGAAGCAGCTCCATATTTGGGTTTTCAGTTTCAAGGATCAATACACTTTTCTTGTGCTAATTTAATTATTAGACAGGGTCTCCCTACATAGTTCAGGCTGGTCTTGAACTAACTCTGTAGCCCAGCCTGGACTCAAACTTGGGGTAATCCTCCTGCTTCAGCCTCTTCCCAAGTGCCAAGGTTAGAAGAAAGCATGACACCCAGCTGTTTTCACCAGCAATGAAGCCCTAAAGGCACCCTATGAATGTTTCCTGAGGAAAGGTTGGGGGCTAATATCTAATATGTTTAAATTCACATTTTAAAGACTATTTTGTCCTCAGTGAAACAAATACATGGAATGAAGGTCAAATTAAAGATCACTTAGACAACTACTGCAGGAATCCATGAGAAACATGGTAACTAAAATCCTAGTCCGACAGACATAGGAGACAAGAGCCTTGCTTAGAAATTAGCGACTAATGAGTTTAGAGACAGAAAAATGTGCATATGATATCCCTAGTTCTCATAAGAGGAGACCTGGCAGGAGAAAGAGATGAGTACAGACAAGGTGATGCTCTGACAGAGGCACTCTGGGAGGTCACTCAAGTGGAAATACAATGTGGGCTGCTGGATCTCACATGATAATTTAGTTGCAGAGTCCTCTTGCTGACAGGACTGCTGACAGTGTGAAACACATGACAAGTCTTAAAATAAATGTTTAATTTCAAAATGTAATGCAGAAATGTAAATCAAAACCAGTAAAAAGTATTATTTCCATTCTAGTATTTGAATCAGAATAAAACTGATAAAACTGAGTAAAAAATAGCCTTAGTTCTTACAAAATTTAGGATTTAAGAATATTATCTTACCATATCACTTCATTCTCATTTATATATGACAGTACAATTTAGGAGACAAAGATTTACTATAGGACTCAAAATTATTTAGCAGAAAGTTCTAAGGGAATTTAAATGGAGATATTGATAAAGAATAAAAGACAGCTCTGGTCACCCAACACCTTTTAGACAGCCACTCCTAACTACCCCACAACGGGGGTAGAAACTGACACCAGTGGAAGGGATGGTATCCCCCCTCCCCACAACCATTAATGACTGCTTTTGGTTATCTATTTCCAAGAACAACAGTGTTGGGAAGGGGTGAGCACACAATGTAAAGCTGACACTACACAACCGCTGTAGTGTGAAGCACGAGGAACCCGTGTCAGAGAGGGAGGCTGTGGGGGAAAGAGCACGGTCTCGTTTCCTCTGGACATTTTGGCTATCAGATCTGTGTGTAAAAAGGTTAGTGCTCACTTTTTGCATTTAAAATTAAAAATTATGAGACTGGGTGTGGTGGCGCACACCTGCAATCTGAACTATTGGGAGGCTGTAAACAGGCAGATCACTAGTAGTCCAATCTAGTCCTAAAATATAAAAATAAATAAAATTTAAAATTATTAAAAAAAAAAAGGGCAATCGTAAACTTTCAAAGCATATGGATTTTATGTTTTAGCTATTTCTTTCTTTATATGGCTGTTGTACTTTTTTTTTCTTAGGAATAGGAATAAAAGCATGAAGGCAGGAAATACCTATGGAAAAGGATGAATAATCTGTGAGATTAAATTAACTAAAAATATATAGAGAACTTTCTGTGCTTAGTAGCCAGGTGTTCGATGAACAAGTCACTAGGAAGTAAACTGTAAAGAAATGTTAAACAGGGCCCGGAGATGGCTCAGTAGAATAAGCGCTTCCCTGAACAAGCACAAGGGCCTGAGTTCAATGCCTGGTTCCGTCCCCCCCACCAAAAAAAAAAAAAGTTAAACATCATCACATCCAAATCAGGGTCAACATCTCACACCTTGTACAGCTACTAAAATTGACTTTTGTTTCCTAACCATCCTGCTGTACAAAAATCATCTACTTAAAACACAACTACATGTGAGAGGGGAGAGGGGAGAGGTGGAAAGGAGGCTAATGGGGTGGAGATGATCCAGTGTTACACACATATAGGAGGAAGTCACAATGAAGCCCAGTATTTTATATAATACAAGTATAATAAAAAATATAGTAAAATACCACAGATACAGTACAACCAAGATCTACAGTGACTCCTGACTGCCCACAAGTTTCATAAACTATGCTCTAGCAATGATTCCTTACCTACATGGTTAACAGTCATGATAAAGACATGTGCTGAGCAAACACCAAATACACAGTATATTTACACGGTGGATGAATGTGCTGGAGCCATACGACTGCAAGCATGACCAAGACTTCCAGGATAGCGTCCACGGGAGGTAGAACTCAAGAATCTAGCTTGATAGGCTGTCCAGATAATTCCTATGAAGGCTGAAATTTTAGGAAATTAAAGAAGAGGTTCTGATTTGTTCTCTTGGGTTTACCTTCAGAAGGTAAGCAGACATGTAAATATCTGCTGTGGGGCTGGAGTTCTTAAACTATGTGGAGGTATGCTGTGAATAAATGGGACGTTCAAATTTCTCAGACATGGCAGCCTATAGCCCTTTAAAAAGATATACCTTCACTATTATGAGTTTATTTAATATATATTAATGGGTTAGTATATAAATGTGGGTAAAACAAAACTGGAGCTATACATATGCATTTCTAGCAGAAAAAGAGCCACATATATTACAGTATTTAAGCTAGACCATCCATCATTTTCAGCATACATGAAAACACTTAAATTTACAAAACTGATAAATACCTACTATACATTCATCTTGTATACTTAAAAAAGGCTAAACTTAAGGAAATGAAAAGCTGAAAAGTATGAGAGGTAGCAACACTCAATGATTTTTTTTAATGTCTACCTCATGTATAATAGAAGATTATAGGAGAAAAAGGAGTAAAATTCTTAAGAGAAAAAGTGTGGCAAGGGCACTTCTATAACCTTAGGAAAAGAAAAAAGTAGAAATATATCCAAAATATATTTTGAAATTGTTACACATGTATTAGTGACAATAAGCAGAGGGTAACTGATCACTTTTGGGGAATGAAAACCAGTCCAGGGTTTTACGATTTCAGCTCCAGTCATCCTCATTCTTTTCATTCCCTTGTTGCCATGATTCGGAAGTACTTATTTAGTAATTCTCAGTGTGCTCAGTCGAATTAAACACTACACCATTAGTGCCTTTGCTTTATACACTGTGCATATTGGGTAAAACTTGTGTACTGTGGTAATTGCAAAGGAGACAGGTGGTGCCGTGCCAGCCCCGGCCCCAGGGCACGCTGAGACAGCAATTGAGACTGGGCACGCACTTGGGAGGCTGTGAACAGGAGGATCACTATGAGTCCAATCTACACAGTGAGGCCCTGTACCTGCAGACCCTGTCCTAAAATGCAAAAATAGAAAAAAAAAAAAAAAAAGAAGAGAGGTGGACGAATACTAGGGAAGTCACTCCTAAATGGTAGCGCACCAGTATCTGCTGCTAGAACAGTTTTAAAATGTGACGTACACCCAAATCTTGGGACCTTGTTTAAATAGAAAGCTGGGCCTCACCTCCAAAATGTCCAATTTAGTAGGTCTGCAGTGGGACCAGAATCTGAGTTTCCAATAAATTCCCAGGGTGAGGGAGATCCTGGCTTGACATACACACTTTTGAGAATCCAGGCTCCTAGTGAAACCATAGTCATAAAGACAAAGAGCCAGGTGGACAGGGAAAGAAAATGGTCTCTCCCTGCATAGCTGTGCAGTACACAGAAAGTTAATTACAATTATCACCTGCTCATCTGATGTCTTTACAAAGCTAAACTTTAAAAAAAAAAAAATACATTTGCTTATTTAAGGGCTATGGTAGAATCCATTGTTATGAGAATGGACCTTGACACCTACCCTATTTAAGTTTGGATACCAAAATCTTTGGACTACCTTGAAGTTGCAATGAAATTCAAGGATATTTTTAATACTTGTGTTTAAACCACACATCTTATTCACTTGTTTCTTTTACTTTGTGTTTCTGGAAACAGGAACTTGTTATGCATTCTAGGCTAGGCTTGAACTTGAAGTGATCCTCCTGTCTCAGGCTCCTGAGTGCTGGAATAAAAGGCATGAGACTCTGTCTTTATCTAGTTCTTTCTTAAACCAATTATTACTTTTGAGGTGCTGAGAAATGAACTCAGGACCTTACATATGCGAGGCAAGCACTCTACCATTGCCCAATACTCTCAGTTGAAGCCAACCATTAAAAAACAAAATAGCCATGAAAATAATTTGTTTGATAAATGTAGTGTTTGTACACTATTAAAAACATTTCTATTTAACTGAACCTGCACGCTCAGATTTAGAACACTTGATAAATGGACCCAGCTGAGTCTTTATTTTACAGTCAAATGCACGGATAAAAATACATCACAATAATTAATGAAGCCGTTCTAATTTTGCTTGGAGAGATTTAAAATTCCCAGTGATGGCTTGCACTGCTGAGGAAGAGCTCATGGACTGGAGCTCAACCAGATAACCACAAACAGCATCCAGGCAGAGATTTGTAAATCTTCTCCTATAAAGGAAACAATATTTCATGAACTGTGTGTATATACAGTTAGAAACATTACCTTAAACACAATGTCTTCTCCCCCAATTTCTGCTAATCTTACTTACAGTCCCAGAGAAAACAAAAATCCCATCACTAAGTAAATGTCAAATACTGGACAAAAAAGTAGGAAACCTCACATGGAGGTCAATTACCAATATTCATTTGAAGATTATTATGTTAAGAAGGATAAATCCTTTTATACAATGGAGTATTACTCAGCTAAAAAAAAAAAGAAGCCTTCATATATAAGTGGATGTAACTTGAAGATATACTCATAAGTGAAATAAATCAGACCTACATGTGTAAATATCATATTGTCTCCCTAGTATAAGAACTCAAAAAGAGGGGCCTGGGAGATGACTCAGTGGAATAAGCGCTTCCCTGGCAAGCGCAAGGGCCTGAGTTCAATCCCTGGTTCTGAAAAAAAAAAAAAAAAAAAGAACTCAAAGGAAGAAACAAAAATTGAAAGGTGTAATACAGTCAAATGGAAAGCGAGAATTTAAGGATTAAACAACGAAGACAGAGAAAGGAGAAAAGTTAGGAAATCTGGCAGGGGCAAAACCATACTTTTATATAAACAAGATGGTTAAGGCAATGGTCCTAAGAATCTCAATTCAGGTTTTTAAAAATAGCAGTTAATGTGTAGAATTCTCACCCTGGCTAACTCTAGATGCTGATATCTGTGAACTAAGCAACTACACGGAGGATAGCAATGTGTAATACTAAAACTATGCTTGAAATACCAGTCATTCTGGTCTTCTAAATGTGTACTGCTTCTAACATATCAATTATTGCTATACTCTCTTTAAAATAAATGTTTGCAAAAAAAAAAAAAAAAGGTAAAAAGAGAAAACAAAAGACAAGAAAAATGTCATAGGATTGTCCTGCTACAATGTTTTATTTTTATAGGGTTTGATTCCTAAATATCTGTGTAAAAATGTGTAATTGTTTTTTCATGTTCCATGGGGATCTAAATTTTAGAATATCCATGGCTGCTGGAAAACAGCAGTTCCAAGTTATGGCTAAGGCGTTTGATATGCAGACAGATAATGATATTAAGATGAGCTGCTTCTGTTACAGGTTAATAATATCATTAAGCTTCTCTTCTGGATGTTTAACAACTCAAGTTTGCAGACCAAAAATTAGAGAAACAGAGGGGCTAAAAGGATACCCAATATTTTAGCCTTAGCCCTTCAAGGTCAGTGAGGATTCAGGACAGAAGAGAACCTGTGCGGTGACATCCTGTAACTAAGTGGTGTCCCAAATTTTCTGACAAAGGGGATTGTGGGGCCACAGAGGAAAGTGATTGATGATGTAGAATTTGCCTAAGGAGAGTCACCTAGAGAAAAAACATTCTCTCAAGCTTTCACAGAGAGCAATGGCCAAGCAATGGCCATGATTCATCCAGATGGTTGACACTGACAAAAGATCTACAAGGTGATGTACATGGTTTCAGGGCAAATCCTGAGGGGATTTGAATGACCTTGTGAGACACAAAAGTTACAGTTTTAGTTATATAGGTCCTGCTTTCACTTGGTCTAAACCATCCAGCAGAAAAGTATAACCACGAGGTATAAAAAGTAAAGCTGTATTAATATGCTGAGCTGTAAAATGTTCAAGTCAACAACTTCTGACAATTGCTATTTCTGCTGATAACCCACTACTATTATGGTCTATTGGACTATATTGGGTTATTCTGCTGAATTCAAGTACCTACAATCTTTAGACTGGCTTCAAGTATGAAAAGGTCCTTTAAAGACTTCTCCAAAAACAGCTTTTCTAACTGCCGTGGCACACCCATCTCTGACAAAACAAAATGAAAGGGGCGAGAGAGATGGCTCATGGAATAAGTGCTTCCCTGACAAGCACAGGGCCTGAGTTCAATCCCTGGTTCCACAAAAAAAAAAAAAAAAAAAAAAAAAAAGAAAAGAAAAGAAAAGAAAAAGGGGGATATGTTGGGAGCCACAAAGCTAGGAAATTGATCAAATATGTGTAGGTGGGACTTGGCCCAGTGCCTAATGCAAACCAGCTACCTCACTCCAGAGATGAACATCCTGTCTGGTTAAGGTTAGCTATCAGTTGCTAGGCAACCTAGTGTCATGCATTACTATCTTCACAAAAGTGCAAATAAAGGACCATTTTGTTGTTAAAAAAAAGAAAGAAAACAATATATAAACGTATGTATACACAACAGGATATACAGCTACTCTTAGCTGAGAATAAAAGTTCGTACTAATATTTAGACAAGATATAGCTGCACTTCGTCCTCTGACTACTATGAAGACAACAATATGCAATGTATTAATTATTGTGACCATCCTACTAACCTGTTTTGAAACTGTTTCATTGCTATTTTATCTTTTTTTCTCATTAAAATGAATAAAAAAATAGAAGAAGGAGAAATCCTGTTAATATTATTTATATTCTTTTGGCTTTTTCAAGAATAACCTTTGAAATGGGCTAATACTATTAAAGACAGAACTGAAATGACTTGGTCTTAGGCCATTAATTCATAGCACAGCCAGGCATGGTGGTACACCTCTGGAATACTAGAACTGTGGAAGCTGAGACAGGAGGATCACCATGAGTTTGAGGATAGCCTGGGCTGAAACTGAGTGTAAGGCCAGCCTGAACTACATAGCAAGACCCTGTCTCAAAAGTAATAATACTAAAAATAAAAATCAAAGCATCAAAAAAGATATCTTCACTTGTAGAACAATTTAGAGACAAAGGTTGAAAAATTTAAAAACTCAGTTTTTGGAGGAGGTAATGGATGTCATTGAAATAGTTACTGATAATGTACGTAAGAAATGAAATCCTCTACCCAGTTACTCATTAGAAACATTTAAAACCTTCTTCTAGAATGCAATATTGAAGTCAGTTACCTCTCACAATTGAAAACTTGACCAGGATTCTGAACATATCTTGTCAGTAGTACATGGATACAATCCAAAAGGTGTAATGGCTTCTTAACTCTGTTCCAGAATGGATCCTACAAAGAATACCAAATTCTTGTATGCAAATCATACCAACTGACTTTTTAATCAATTATGTTAAAGGATCCATGCAAAATTTATTACTATTAAGAAGCTTAAAAAGTTATTGTATGTGGCTATGGTTAATATTTGAGCGAACATTAAAAAATGTATTGTGGGGCCCGAGATTTGTAGCTCAGTGGTGCAGTACTTGCTTGGCAAGTCTGAAGCCCCAAGTTTGATTCCCAGCACCAAACAAACAAACAAACAAACAAACAAAAAAAGTACTGTGCTAGTTGTTTTGGCACACATCCATAAATCCAGCAATTTGGGAGGCTCACACCACAGAACTGTGAGTTTGAACCCCAACTAGGCAACACAATGAAGACTCTGCCTTGAAATAAAAAGTTAAAAGGGCTGGTGGTGTGCTCAGTGACAAGAGTACCACTGGACTCAATTCCCAAAACCACCACAAAAATAAGTACATAAGGGGCTGGTGAGATGGCTCAGTGGTCTAAAGCACCTACTTAGAACAAACTAAAAGCACAGGGACCTCGGTTCAATCCCCCAGCACCACATGCCAGCCAGCCCCGCCCCCTGGTGGGCTGAGCTGGCCACACACACACACACACACACACACACACACAAATAAATAAAATATTATTAAAAAAAAGTACATAAATATTACAAAATACAGAGTCTGGTAAGGTTCAATATGGTGAGAAAGATCATTAAGCACTAATATGTTTGATGAGGTTACACAGAATAAACAAAGTGCTACTTTTTCTTTGAAACTAATGGGGCTGGAATACAGCTCAATAGTATAGCCCTTGCCTAGTAGTGCAACACCCTGGGTTTGGGTTCAAGAACTGGGATTAAGAAAACAAAACTGAAAACACTTCCTCTAATGTATTAATCCAGTAATTTGGTTTAGCATATTCCACCAAGAGTAAAGTATATGTTTATTAATAGAGAAAATATTAACATGTCATTTTTCTTATGATCTACAGAACAACTTTTATCATATTTATACACCCTCAAGTAAAATTTCAACACTCCACTGTTGTAGCTGAACTATGAAGTGTGGCCCTAAACAAGGAGCCCAGTGCAGCAGTGTGGATGGGCAACAGAAGGGGGCCTTGAGAGGTGACCAGATCATGAGGGTGCCTCTATAATGCACGGATAAATTCAGGAGATGAATGGGCTGTGAGAGGAGCAGCTTCCCTGGAAGAAGTAGCCACTCAAGCCGTGTCTTTGAAGGGCATCTCTTGTCTCAGGCTTTCCCCCTTTCACTATGCTCACTGGCCCGTGAAGTGAGCAGCTTTCCTCTGTCATGTCCTTTGGTCACCATCCTTCTACCTTGAAGCCAGATGACTGTAGACTGAAACCTCTGACTCATGAGTGAAAACCTTTTTCTCCATTATATTGTGCATGTCAGATATTTTGTCCCAGCATTATGCAGGTGTGACATAATGCATCAACCACTGAAGCAAACCTCTGCTGCAACTTGATTAACCCTATTGAACTAAGTGACAAGATGCATACAAATATGCAATCAAGTATCTCATTCTGTATCTATCAAAATGAATTAAAAAAAAATATACCAAATTAAGCATTTCCCTGGCAAACACAAGGGCCTGAGTTCAATCCCCAATTCCACAACACACACACACACACACCCGAAGTATTTTTCTTACCCTCCCCCCCTCAAAAAAAAAAAAAAAGGGCCTGGTGAGATAGCTTAGTGGTCTAAAGCACCTGCGTAGCCGAGCTTAGGCAAACTTAGGCAAGCACGCAGTTAGATCCTCAGCACCACATGCTGTGCCAGCCCCAACCCTGGGGTGGGCTGAGCCGGGGACACACACACACATACACACAAACACACGTTATTTTCCTTACCCGTGACTTGAACAGCTGATCATAAACTTCCAGTAGTCTAGGTAATGGTACTCCAATTTCATTCATAGTTTGTATTACAAAGCCCACATCCCAATTCAAAGTACAAACTTGCTGCTCTAAGAACTGTATAATAAAATCTGGGAACACAAAAATATAAGAAACTTGAAGTTTTGACTCTTGATACCAAAAGGCAAGTTTTAGTCATAACTATATAGTTTCTAGTGGCAACCTAAAAATGAATTTCAAAAAACTATGGGGAGCTAGGGAAGCAGCTCATTAATAGAGTATGTGCTTATTAATACACAGAAGTCTCTGGGTTCAATCCCCAGCAATCACTAAATCAACAAACACCAGTAAGACACAGAAGACACATACCAGAGCATGCAAATCTAGAAATAAAACATATATTAGTAGCTCCCTCAATGTAACAGGGAGCAGTCAAACCAATTACAGATTCTCAGCTACTCTTTCCTCTTCACCCACTTGTACTTGGTCACCAAGGGTATAATCACTTATAGTCTGTTAGTCAGCAGTCCCAAGACAGACATATAAACTTTCAGGGTTGGTCAAAGAAAAGTTCAAGTGCTTCCCTGGCAAGCACAAGAGCCTGAGTTCAATCCCTGATTCCACCAAAAAAAAAAAAAAAAAAAAAAAAGAAAAGAAAATTTCACACTAAATTAACAAATTCTGTTATTCTTTAGAGATCTTTCTTTCTGAAGAGAATTAAACTGCTGAGTTTCAGTAGCACAAGACACTTTACATTTTACTCTAAAGATTTTTTTTTTTTTAGTCAGGGTCTTGATATGTAGTATATACTGGCCCTGAACTCATCTATGTAGCCCAGGCAAGCCTCAGACCAAAACTCAGTGATCCTTCTGCTTCACCCTTCTAAGTGGTGGGATTATAGGCATGCACCACCACACCTGGTGAAAGATCACTATTTTTCAGTGAAGAAAACAGTCATGAAGAAAACCATCAAAATAGAAAATAACTCAGAACTTGGCTGAAAATTTGAAGCAAGGCTGAGTTAAACACTGACCTGAAGGCCAGTCTGGGTTACACAGTGAGACCCTGTGTCACAAAAGCAAAACCAAACGAAAAGCAAAATCTGGAAAACATAACATAAGCGCACTTAAGGTTATTACTTACCTAAAGGAAAGAAGCGAGGTGTGCCAGCATAAATTTTGCCAAGGAGGATGATCTTGAGACTAAGAGCATGCATTCTATCTGAGGAGTTTAACGTGACACTATCACTCAGTTCTGAAAGAAAGAGACATGTCAGTAGAAACCCTACTTACTTTTAATGTGGAATGTATACATTAGCTATTTAATTTGATTTCAAGATACAAATACTTCAGAATTTCACATCAACTCACTAACTAGCAAGTTTTGTGTTTCTGTTAGTGACTGATCTCTTTATGAGTACTAGTAGATAGAATAAAAAATGACAACTTTTCATTGAGCATCCTTGAAAATATTCACTGTGCTCACACCCTATAATCACCCCTCTTATGCATGCAAATATCTTCTACGTACACTCTACTTAAAAGTGTATATTCCTCTACTAAATCACTAAATAATGTATACTGCTTTACATACATAGAGCACTTACCTTTCTCTATGATATCTTGCCAAAGTGTCTGCACCAGTATAGGATCTGAATAACCAGCGCAGTGAATTATAGCAAGTTTACACTCTGCAAGTTTGAATGGGTCGGCAAATTCCCCATAAAGCTGTAGGGAAAAAAAACCCTAAAATGAAACATACAACCAAGACGCAACATTCAGGGTTTAACAGTGAATGAAGTACTAGTGAGATAAGAAATTAGGGCGTAGAAAGGCTGGCTGGGGAAGTAGGCATAACCTGTTAATTACAAGTCCCAGGGCACAAGTGCAAACAGTTCCCAAAGTCTGCACAAAGTCTGCTTGAGAATTCCAGTAGGTTTTCAATATGATCGCCTAGATCTGAGGTCAGCCTGAGGACATGGTGAAATAAAAGGATGTCCACACTAAGTTTTACCTGTGTTCTCTCTTGTATGGTGGCCACCGTCAGGCTACAGTGTGTATTTCTTTTCCTACCTTGACTTCATCCAACCTGGCTCTGCAGAACTTGTTTCTTTTCCTACCTTTAGTGAAACTTTGCTACTGTTAGTGCTTGTCTTTGCCAATTCTTTCCTTGTAAACAAAAAGAACCTAAAAACCACCTCCAGAAGGAAACCATAGCACCCCAGAAGTTAGTATTCAACACTCCTTCAAAATTAAAATCAATGAAATATTTCATCTAAAGTATCTAAAATATGATGTAGGTTGAGTATCCTTCAGGAAAAATACTTAAGTGTTTAAGGTTTTGAAACATATGCATATACATAATAGCTTCAGGATAGGACCCGAGTCTAAACATGAAATTCATTTGTTTCACAAATACCTTTTACATAGATGATCTCATAATAATTTTACACAATATTTCTAACAGTGTGATTAGACAGTGACCCAGCATGACTGTGGTACTTTCCATCTGTGATGTCATGCCTGTGCTCAAAGTTTCAGATTTGAGCATTTTGGATTTCGCTGTTCAACCTGTAGTAAGATGGTCGTAACTTCAAGTAAAAAATGGTGAATGAAGGTAATTTTCAAGTAGGCTTTAGATTTGCCTTTTCTTAGTGACTACTAGGATGGAGATACTGCAACAATAATTATTGCTGAATTAGTGTTATCTAAACTATAGTTTAGGAATCGTGGGAATAACAAATCTGTAGGATACTTGGAACTGTGTCCAAGAATTGAGGAGGAACTGCTAAGAAGGAAAGAGCAGGAGGGGTGGAGAGTTAAGGGTTTTTTTGGTGGAACTGGGGATTGAACTCAGATCCCTGCGTTTGCCAGTCAAACGCTTATCCTACTGAGCCATCTCCCCGACCCCAAGAAAAGTTTTCCAAGACAAGAAGCAAGGCTGTAAACTGCTGGTTTTCTATTCCTACATGAGACAGATAGGTTCTTCATCACTACTGGCAGGAGCATCTTAGCCTTTTCTAGGAGTCAGAACAGCAGCTATGATCTGCCAGTCTTCTGACAAGCTACCAAGGATGGACTTTTTTATTTTATAGAAACTGGTTATTCTTTTCCATGAAACAAAAAGCAAAATACAAAACACACAAGGAATTTCAAGAAATAAAGTGACCACTACAGAACTACCAGTTTTACCTTAGTTATATCCATTAGCTCAGAGTCCAGCTGAGAAATTGCATCCTGTACAGAGGAGTGATGGGAATACTGACGTTGCAGTGTCTCTTGTATCTGAAGTTGGATCCTAGCAACCTGGTTTAGGCAGAGAACAAGATATCCTAATTTTTTTTTTTTTACAATAAATCAATGCGTATTCAGAAGAATGACCCCTAGACTCTGGGTTTAAATTTGCTAAAATAAAAATGGCACATAAACTTCTATTGTAATAGAGTAGCACCATTCATAAGAGACATCATTTAAACAGGAAGAGTGCTGTGGCAGTTCTTTTGCTATCCAGCAACATTATTACCTTCTATCACAATAGCCACAAAAATGCTTTGACTGGACTTCCCAACTGCTTATACAATATGGGACAGCCCCATGACTAAATTCAATTCAAGGAATGAGTAGAAGTATGTTATTGTGGGGCTACAGTTTTTGAGAAAATGAATGTATTTCTTAGATACTTTTCTTTCCTGTTCTCTGTCAGATAAAGCAAAGACTTTAGGGACTAGTAATACCAGAAATCAGAACTTGGGTCCCTAACTCAACCATGTGGACGAGAAGCCATCTGCTGATCAGGAATGCCCACTTGATTTCTGTGAAACAGAAGCAGCTTTATATTCAGACTACTGTAAGCTTATTTTTCTCTTAGTTAAAGCAGTTTAGCTTATTTTATGCATTTACTTACTAGCTCCCACAATACATGATGACTGCATTTGATACCGGAACAGGTGGAAAAAACCTACAGAAATTTCAAATAAAAAACCCTCATAGGGCTAGCCAAATAGCTAAGTGGATTAAAGTGCCTGCAAGTAGGCGCTGGAGCTGGGGTTTGATCCCTGGGCCTGCTGGGCTAACCCTGTCCCCAGGGTGCACTGAGATGGGAAATGAGACTGGGCGTGGTGATGCGATCTTGTAATTCCAGCTCTTGGGAGGCTGTAAACAGGCAGAGCACTATGAGTCTGATCTAGTAGTGAGCCCCTGAACACCCTGTAGACCCTTCTCTAAAAAAATACAAAGAGCCCCCCAAAACACCTCATAAATTACAGCAATGTTTCATGTCTGAAGTATTGGTATCCTAAAAAAATTCTTCTTAGGATGTATACCTAAACATAAAAATTAATACTCAGCTATGATTGACCAAAGGAAGACAGGAAAATTAAATAATATGTATCTTCTCTTGTATATATATACACCTTTAGTATCTTTAGTACTTACTTCCATTTTTTCTTCTAATTCATGAAGGAATTCACCATCTGCAGCTATTGATGAAATGGCAGTGGAACTTTTGGCACTAAGAATGGCTCGAGCAATGTATTCTAGCCGTTGCTGAAGTGAAATTTCTGTGCTAAGAGGGAACATGTTTCATTTTAGTTACACAATTTCTTAAGGACTAAAAATGCAAATGTCAAGTAGAATGCACTTTTTCAAACCAAATGAACAAAAAAAGGTCATCTGAAACTTGAAAACGTTAATAGATTTAAGTAATGAATCTACAGTAAATTTCTAATAAGAGTTTAACTATTTAGACAACTAAAGAAATGTTCATTATCTCCAAAGTTGTTTCCAATTATAAAACTTACTTAGGTCCTAGAGTGTACGGTGGCACAGGCCTCAGCTACATGGCAGGCTGAGGTACGAAGATCGCGTGGGCCCAGGAGCTTACAGCCAGCTTGTCAGCTGCAGTTCTTTCTCATACTCTTTGACCTAGCTCTTGACATCACAAAGCAACCTGGCATTCAAAACAAGCTGTGGCTGGTAGTGCACACCTGTCAACTGAGCACTCAGGAGGCTGAGGCAGAAGCATCACTGCAAGTTTGAGGCCAGCCTGGGATGCACAGCGCAGGGATAGCCTACACTGCATGGCAAGACCCTGTCTCAATCCCCTCCCTCCAAAAATAAATGAAAAACCCAAGCTAATGCATTTACTGGTTCAGAACTCAGGTCAATCAGTACCAAATACACTTTTTGAAATCCCAATAAATCCCAATGTGCAGCAGGAAAAAAACTGGCTTTACTTTCAGAAAAAGCCTTAAACTCTGTTTCACTATTGTTATGGCGTCTACATTTCTCCTCTTTCAAAACAAAAAAACAAACCAAAAGAATGTTGGATGTGGTAGGGCACAACTATAATCCCAGCACTTCAGAGGCTGCAAGTTCAAGACCAGACTGGATTACATAGTGACCAGGACCAGACCACCTTACTTATATAGGAAGACCCTGGCTCAAGAAACAAAAACAAAAAAACAGAATGAAAAGAAAAAGAACCACCGGCTCGTGAGGCTGGCAGGATGAATGTGAGGGTGGCACATAGTGAAGTAAACCCCAACACCAGAGTGATGAGTACTTTGTGCATCTAGCTGGCCTACAACATCTTGGTAAGACTGCTGCACATGGTTCTACTCAGCATCCCCTTTCCCAATATTCCTGTTGTCTAGACCCTGACAATGTCATCCACAACTTGGCAATGTATGTCTTTTTACATACAGTGAAAGGGATACCCTTTGAGATTCCCTGACCAAGGAAAGGCTCGCCTGTTGACACATTGGGAACAGATGGACTATGGACTCCATTTTACCTCTTCCTGAAAGTTCCTTAGTCTCTCACTTATTATACTCCACCTTCTGGCCAGCTTCTATACGAAGTATGGTGTTGCCCACTTCCTCATCAACACTACCTCACTGTTTAGTTTTCTGCTGCCTAAGTTGCCCCAGTTCCATTGAGTCTGTCTCTTTGGCATCAACAGATACTGAGGGATAGGGGTGAGGACAACCCCACAGGCATGGAAAAAGCAGTGGAACAAAGGACCAAAACATCTTTCCCTTCTCCAAATTATCTTTAGATTCTTGAAAGCCTGAGAACTACACTATCTTTCCCAAACTCAGGAAGAGATCAGAAAATGGAACCATTGGATCCAGCCCTGCTAAGGGCAAGAGTAAGCCAGGAAAGGCAAATGAGTTTAAGAGCTACATCATTCTCCTCTGTTATAGGAAGATATATATGAGCAATTTGTTTGATTACATTTTCCATGTTTTTCACCTCTACCTTTTTCCTACCCCATTTTGCAGCATATTTTCCTTATAATAAAGAATTTTTTTCAGCTATGGCTGCAATTTGATCAGTAAGAAAGCAAAGAAGCCAGATGAAGTGATGTACACCTGTATCCTGTACTCTAGGAGGTTGAGGCAGCAGGATTGCAAATTCAAGGGATCCTTAGTGAGACCCTGTCTCAAAATAAAAATATTGCTGGAGACATTAAAAAAAAAAAAAAAAAAGAACTGAAGAAAAACAAAGTACTTATTACTCTTTATTTTTCAAAGTAGATGTGTGTATGTAAGTTAACACAGGACAGATCTTCAGGACACACATAAAGTACTGTACATTAAGATACCCTGTTACTATAAGCACATCCAGCCCCAAGAACCATTTCATTATACCATTTTTTTTTTTTTTTGCGGAACCGGGGATTGAACTCAGACCCTTGTGCTTGCCAGGCAAGCGCTTATTCTACTGAGCCATCTCCCCAGCCCCAACCATTTCAAAAAAAGGAAATTTACCTGAGTCAAATATTTAATAGATAGTAAAGTTTGAAGCAATATAACACACAATAAATAAAAATGGCTTACAAAGACCAGCGTGGTAATAGTTATTAATGGCTTTCTAAGAAAAGTAGGCCAGAAATGAGATACTGAAGGCCCAGACTGGACACAGTGCCAATGCACCTCTAGCAGAGTACAGCATATAACAGGCACTCAAAACTACATTACATAACCAATGATATACAGCTACAATGATTTATATGCTTGACAATGTTACTTCTTTTTTTTTATATTGGTGGTACTGGGAATTGAACTCAGGCGTTTGAACATCCACAGCTCTTCTGAGTCAGGATCTCACTAAATTGCCCAGGCTGGCCCTGAATTCATGATCCTCCTGCTGCTTCCTGAGCAGCTAAGATTATAGACATCTGTTACTATGCCACTAATGTTATCTTCTTTGTACAAATGATAAATCAACCAAATCCTGTATAAGAAATGGCCTATTAGGTCTTTAAAACTTGATTTCCTTTTTTCCTTTTTATTATACCAAAACCAAAGAAATTTAAAATTACTTCCTCTTTTGCAGGTGAGGGAAACTTAAAATAATTCAAATAACCATCAGAACTAAGCAGGACAAGAAAACGAGGAAAGTTTTGGGTCCAGAGAAAATACCTACAACAGCACAACTATATGTGCTGACTCATACACACATATATACTAATACTTGTATTTGCCATACATGAACTTTTTGTTTTTTGGATTTGAACTCTGAATAAGATAGAAACTTTTTCTTCAGTAAGACTGAATGAAAGGTCTCAGACATGCTAAGCATGTATACTGCCCCTGAGACAGGTAGAGACATTGCCCAGGATGGCCTCAAACTGCTGTTCCTGAGCTCCTCATATCTCAGTCTCCTCAGGAGTTGGGCTTATTAATACATGCCACCACACCTGGCTCCAGAAGTAAACTGCGTAAGCAACCGTTCTTATCAGTATGACTTGATTTTATCAGCTCTGCCTCAATACACTTAACTTAATCCTCAGCTTTCAGAAGTGGCACTTGTATATTATTATTAAACACAAAAATACCACATGAAACCAGTTGGCCAAATTAATGACCTGCCCAATAGTTTATTAAATTGTCTTTGATATTATAATCTAATTAGAAACTCATGCTTATCAGGTTTCTTACTACTCTAAGATATTTTTTATTATTTTATTTATTATTATTTTTTAGTTATTTTTCATTATTTTAAGCCAGTGTGGGAACAGGTAAAAATTGCCTAGAATTATGAAAACATTTAAAACGATAAAACCACTGTAAGACTTTTTTTTTTTTTTTTTGGTAAGACAGTTTTTGTTCTTTTAAGAAAAACAACTGCTGCTACTAGGAGAGTCTAAAGACAATCTAGAATATTTTAGTTTGAATAAAGAAGATTCAGTGAGCATTCTTTTAATGCCCCCCAGGTATTACAACAACAAAAAGAAAAAGAAAAGCTGTGAAGTTTAGGTAAATTCAAGCAAAGGCATAGATAGTCTACATATACATGCTGAGTTACTCTCATTTAATCTGTAAAATCCAGATGATAATTCTGTAAAATCAGCCTGATAATTCTTCACAATAAAATTATCATCCCATACCTATGCATGTCGGTCAGTTTTGACAGGACACGAGCAGCACTACTAAAACTTCTGTTCTTCTCATAATACCTCCACAATAAATCCATATAACGAACTTTGTTTTGATCCACTTTGGCCATTCGGACTAGATATGGCTCCAGAAATGGAGAGGCAATCTAGGAAGTATACAAAATATTCAGAAACGTTTTCTGACCACTTTGCTACTTTTTACATGCAAAGTCTGTAAAGAAACTGTAATTAATTGTGCTCATGAAACCGAAGCAAAATTATAACCTAACACCAAAAGAGAGCAATTATTCTCATTGTAAGTGAATTTTATTTTACAATAATCAATGAAAGTCTGTAATAATTATGCTAGATTAAAAATGATATCCCATTAAATTTATGTCCCAGTAAATAAACTCTGAGAACACAGGTATTGATTCCTAGATGCTGAGCTCAAAAGTACTCTTGAAATTATTAAATGCCATGTTTTCATGTTATAGATGGAGGAACAGTGAAATTTAATAGTAAGAAAGTGACATGTTTGAAGTTACAGTGACTAAATGACAGAACTAAAAGCTCAGGTTTCCCAGCTCATAATCCAGTGACTTCCATCCCACAATGTAAACTGCCCTAAGCAGCTTCTAGAATAAGATAAATCAACAATCTACTTTGCTTCTTAGGAAAAGATGTCATATATTTGTCTTAATACGTGATATACATACAATGCAAAAGTAAATTCCCTGTAAAGATGAGTTATGCTACTTTAAATTTAAATGAACATTAACAATTCTACTATAAAAATATTTTTTACCTGTAGCAGTTTATCTGCAAGGTCAGCTTGTATCAGCCAATTATAAAGGGCAATACTGAAGAGCTCATCTTGGGATCGCTGTGCCAATTTAATCATTTGTTCAAACTAAAATAAATAAAATAGTACAATTAGCATAAACGTTTGGTTCCTGGGCATCCTAATATCTTGCTCTAAATCCCAAGGAGGAATAAAAGAATTATTAAATGGTAACTTTTAAAGGGTTCTCTTTCCCAAGATGCTTATGCACCACTACCATGTGGAACTTGTAACAGTACACTTTCAGAATGAAAACATGCTGAGTTCTTACGTGATGTCCTGCTTCTTCATTACTTAGCATATTGGGATCAGATGATAACACAGGAGGACCAGGCTTTTTGGGTACACTAGGAGACTGAGGAGCAGCCTTACTTTGATTTACCAGTTCTTGAAGTGTGTCTGTAATGCATTTATAAGCTTGTAATCTGAGAAAAAGAACGAAAAGGGGGCAATTACATTATTCAACCAGAAAAGAAGTGATTTACTTTACTTAAATGCACACACACACACACACACACACACAAAATACAAGACAGGTAAGATGGAATACGCCATCTATTTAACATAAGCTACTTGATAAGACATGAGTATCAGAAAAGTTGAGGCCAGCCTGAGGAATTTATTTATTTATTT